ACGTTAATTATTCATATACGCTCTTAATGTGAGTAAACAAGTCCTTCTTAAAAATTTTGAGTACTTATAACGTGAAAAATATTGGTATTTTTGAAAAAAATGGCACTCACTCTTTGACTTGAAATAAATTTCAAATGCATTTCTCTTTGCAAAAAATTATAAAAATTCACTTAGTGCCCACCATTATGTTAACAATATGCTCTTAACGTAGGATGGTTTGCACTAAATATTTATATTGCTTCTGAAATATTTTAAGTAATTAATTCTTCTAATTTGTGGGGTAGAAAAATGTGACGCTTACTATGTAATCCAAAACAAGTTTCAAATGAATTCCTCGTATCCAAAAATTATAAAAGATTCCCAAAGTGTCCTCCAAAATGTTTACTATAAATATGCTTTTAACGTAGTATTGTTTGGAGTAAACAAATCCTTCTTAAAAATTTTGAGTACTTATAGTACATTTACTTGAGTGCTTTACATTTTGAGTACTTATAGTACATTTGAGTACTTATAGCACATAGTATTTCTTAAAGAAATGGCCCTCACTTAGTAATCTGAAAAAAGTTTCAAATGATTTTCTCATTGCAATTTTTTTTTTTTAAATTCGTAAAATAGACTCAATTATGTTAGTTATATTACTCATTGCAAAAATAAGGAAAAAAATTATGAAGTGTCCTCCATTGTGTTAACCATATATATGCACTTAATATGGCATAATTTGGATGGTGGCATGATGGCATGGTCAAGAAAGTTTCTAATGTTTGAAAAATACCTATAGGTGTGAAGAAATAAATTACCAAAATTTTTAAGAAGCATTTGTTTAAACCAAACCATGCTACGTAATAGTGCATATACATAATTAAAAAAAGGAGGCAATTTTGCGAATTTTTTAAAAAATTTTGCGATGAGGAATGTTTTTAAAACTTTTTTTAGATTAAAAAGTAAGCTTCAACTTTTTTAAAAATACCAACTGATGTGAAGGAATGCATAACCAAAATTGTTAAGAAGCAATTTTCAATTCAAACAATACTACGTTCAAATAATACTACAGACAATACTACATAATGGGAGGACATTTTGTGAATTTTTTGAAACTTTTTCCAATGAGAAATTCATTTCACACTTTCTACAGACTACACAGTGAGAGTCAAATTTATGTGAAAAATGAGTGCTAAAATTTTTTTACGAAGCATTTGTTTAATCTAAACCATGCCGCGTTTAGAGCAGGTATATGGTTAACATAACGGAGGACACTTAGTGAATTTTTTTATAATTTTTTGAAATTAGTATTTCGTTTGAAACTTGTTTCAGATTTTAAAGTGAGCGTCACTTTTTTTCAAAAATACATTATGTGTCAAGAAATAAGGTGCTCGAAATTTTTAAGAAGGATTTGTTTACTCGCGTTATGAACATATTTATCAATAACATGACGGAGGACACTTTGCGAATTTTTCATAATTTCTTGCAATAAGAAAATTATTTGAAACTTGTGTCAGATAAAAAATACATTTTCAAAACAGAATGAAGTTTATTTTACGAATTCATTCGAATTTTTTTGCAATCTGAGAATCATTTGAAACTTTTTTTCTGATTACAAAGTGCGAGTCAATTCTTTCAAAAAATACCCATATGTCTTAAGAAATAAATACTCAAAATTTTTAAGAAGGATTTGCTTACTCCAAACAATTCTACGTTAAGAGCATGTTTATAGTTAACATATTGTAGGACACTTTATGAATTTTTTTATAACTTTTGGAAATGAGGAATTCATTTGTAACTTGTTTCAGATGACAAAGTAAGAGACAAAATTTCAAAAATACACATAGATCTTAAGAAATAAAGACCCAAAATTTTAAGAAGTATTTGTTTATTCCGAACCATGCTATGCCAAAAGAATTATTATAATTAACATATAGAAGAATAAATTGCGAATTTTTAATTATTTTTTGCAATGAGGAATTCATCTGAAACTTGTTTAAACCCTTTTCAAATTAAAAGAGAGCGTCAGTTTTTTTTCGAAAATACCCATATGTGTCCAGAAATAAGCACTCAAAATTTTTAAGAAGCAATTTTTTGTCCAAACAATGCTACTTTCAGAGCATTAATATAGTTAACATTATGAAAGATATATTGCGAATTTTTTATACTTTTTTGCAATGAGAAAATTATTTGACATTTTGTTCCAAATTATAAATTAAGCCTCAATTTTTCCAAAAGTACCCATATGTGTCAATAAGTAATCAAAAATTTTAAGAAAGATTAGCTTACACCAAACAATAATGTGTTAAGAGCATCAGTGTAATTGACGAAAAGGAAGGAATTTGCGATTATTTTTTTATCACTTTTTGCANGGAGCGACTACAACCGTGAAGTTAATACACCTCTCCCATTCAGCACTCAAAAAATACGGTGATCTTAATACAGCTCTCCCGGCTACGCACAAAACAGCAATGAATCAACTAGTGGCATCCATTCATCGAATTCTATCATAGCTATAATTCTGGTGGGGGAGTACTGTAGCGTGTCTACCACTACAAAATTACAATACAATTCACTAGTATGTAAGACATGTTAACTCGACTCTATGTCGGGGTACCTTTTCATAGATGACAGTTGACATGGTCTGTAACTAATTTCCCCACAGGGCATACACATAGTTTAAAAAAAGGAGGCAATTTTGTGAATTTTTTAAAATTCTTTGCGATTAGGAATGTTTTTAAAACTTTTTTTAGATTCAAAAGTAAGCTTCAATTTTTTTAAAAATACAGACTGATGTGAAGGAATACATAACCAAAATTGTTAAGAAGCAATTTTCAATTCAAACAATACTACGTTCAAATAATACTACAAACAATACTACATAATGGGAGGACATTTTGTAAATTTTTTGAAACTTTTTCCAATGAGAAATTCATTTCACACTTTCTACAGATTACAAAGTAAGAGTCAAATTTTTCAAAATTATGTGTAAGGTCGTCGGGCTACCGAAGCGGGGGTGCCATCCCCTCCGCAGAGGATCAAATGATGGCATGTCTTCGGATCATCCTCCGGGATGTTTCCCAGACCGTCGCCAATAGCCCATTGTGAAGCTCTAGTGCGACGTAAATTAACAACAACATCAAAATTATGTGAAAAATAAGTGTTAAACGAAGCATTTGTTTAATCTAAACCATGCCACGTTTAGAGCAGGTATATGGTTAACATAACGAAAGACACTTAGTGAATTTTTTTTATAATTTTTTGAAATTAGTATTTCGTTTGAAACTTGTTTCAAATTTTAGTGAACGTCACTTTTTTTCAAAAATACATTATGTGTCAAGAAATAAGGTGCTCGAAATTTTTAAGAAGTATTTGTTTACTCGCGGTATGAACATATTTATCAATAACATGACAGAGGACACTTTGCGAATTTCTTATAATTTTTTGCAATAAGAATATTATTTGAAACTTGTGTCAGATAAAAAATACATTTTCAAAACAGAATGGAGTTAATTTTACGAATTCATTAGAATTTTTTGCAATTTGAGAATCATTTGAAACTTTTTTTCTCATTACAAAGTGAGCGTCAATTCTTTCAAAAAATACCCATGTCTTAAGAAATAAATACTCAAAATTTTTAAGAAGGATTTGCTTACTTCAAACAATTGTACGTTAAGAGCATGCTTATAGTTAACATATTGTAGGACACTTCATGAATTTTTTTATAACTTTTGGAAATGAGGAATTCATTTGTAACTTGTTTCAGATTGCAAAGTAAGAGACAAAATTTTCAAAAATACGCATAGATCTTAAGAAATAAAAGAACAAAATTTTAAGAAGTATTTGTTTATTCCGAACCATGCTATGCTAAAAGCATTAATATAATTAACATAAAGAAGAATAAATTGCGAATTTTTAATTATTTTTTGCAATGAGGAATTCATTTGAAACTTTTTTAAACCCTTTTCAAACTATAAAGAAAGTGTCAGATTTTTTCAAAAATACCCATATGTGTCCAGAAAAAAGCACTCAAAATTTTTAAGAAGCAGTTTTTTGTCCAAACAATGTTACTTTCAGAGCATTAATAAAGTTAACAGTATGAAAGATATATTGCGAATTTTTAATACTTTTTTGCAATGAGGAAATTATTTGACATTTGTTTCAAATTACAAATTAAGCCTCAATTTTTCCAAAAGTACCCATATGTGTCAAGTAATCAAAATTCATCAATCATGTCAAGCAATCATGTGTATAAGTAATCAAAAATTTTAAGAAAGATTTGCTTACACCAAACAATAATGTGTTAAGATCATTAGTGTAATTGACGAAAAGGAAGACAATTTGCGATTTCTTTCCTTTTTTTTATTACTTTTTGCAATGAGGAACTCATTTTGAAACTTGAATAAGATTAAAAAATGGTCTTCAATTCTTTAAAAAATACCCGCATATGTCAAAAAATATTAACTCAAAATTTTTAAGAAGCAGTTTTTAGTCAAAACAATGCTACGTTAAGTGCATGCATATAAAAATGAAGGAAGACAATATGTGAATTTTTTGCAAATTTTTCCATTGAGAAATTCATTTGAAACTTGTTTCATTAATAAATTTGTATGCATCAAGAAAATTCATTTCATAGCATTCTATGAAAACTGCAGCAAATTAGACAATAATATGATGCAAAGCGTTTCAAAAATTCAACAGTGTTGAATAAATTTAAGTCAAGTGGAGTCGCATGCAATATGGAGCTTCCTCAGTGCCCAGTTTATTCTACTTTTTTTTTTTAAATCTTATAGAAATGTATAAAGATTAACTAATCGGTATTAGTAACCATTCGGAACGATTAAAAATATTTCATCAATCAGACTCTCATTCCCATGTGATTTTTTTTTTTTTTTCTTTTACAACCAGTGAACATTTATCTCAATGGGCCATTCTCGTTGTATGTGGATGCCGCACCTCTGATCTCTGTTCAGAATATATTAGAACCTGTTCGGCGATACATACTTTCCCGCGAAAAACTCACGAATCAGATTCTTTTCGACGATGATCGGAAGTTTAGCAAACATATGCAGCGTTAATACTCCCTAAATTCCCGAGTCAATTCAACATAAAAGGGTGATAAAGTACATGCTAAAAGTACTACTAAAAGTACTACTAAAAGCTGTGTTAACTTTATGCAGTAAAAATAGTTCCTATGCATTAGGAATCCCTCACAGCAACAGCAACAATAATTTTAATCGTTATTTTTATCCTATCGATGAAAAAGCGTAGACTCCATTGTTTTTAACTTTTAAAAAGTAAGTCCTAATGACACAGTGCCGGCCTTTAACATTTAAATTACAATAATTTATAACTAACTATCACCTTTGTATATAAATTAATCAACCAGGTAAGCATTTTGATTTAGTATGACTTCTTAGTGACTGTTTTTTTTTTTCTTTGAAGCATGATTTTTGAACTAACCTCTTCTCATTGTTTATTCTTTTTCTTCTAAATTTTTTACGATATCAACTGTCATCGACTGATCCTTTTTATTTAAATATATTTGAGTTCTAAGTTTGCTTTCTTGGTGTTCTTATTATAATATCCTCTACTATTATTTCATCGCAATGATATTCTCAATGAAATGTATGTTTTTCAGCATTCTATATAAATGCATCTGATGTTAACAGCATTACCAGAGAAATATAAACCTGCAGCAAAACGTGTTTACACACATACTATTACTATTTCTTTCTCGATCCGTGGTTTTTAAAACATTAGAAATTAAATTTTGTTGTGGAATTATAACACATCTATTAGAGATATTTATTTATCTTAACCTAAGGTATAGACTCGCTTTTACATTGATTCATATTTAATTTAAAAGATTGGTTTAGTCAGTTTTGCATATCAAGTCAGTCGTTTTATTCCTGACTAACAATAAATTATAATTAGTTGATGTCTTATTTATACTAACCTCTTTTAGTGAATATGATATGCCTGTTTTAATGTTGAAAAAATTATGATGTATTTTAAATCCAATGACGATATCAAAATTTTATGTTTAGACCAATGTGTTTGTACTTATTTTTGCAAAATTAAATTTTTAGCTAAAATGAGTTTTCGTGGTCGAGATAATGACGCGGGCAGCAAGATGGATATGAACGAGTCCAGAAGATATGGTAATATGGATAATGATAGAGGAGGAATGAATGATGAAATGGATGATCGCAGATTTGGTGAGATGTTTTATGTAATGTACAGTAGGGAACCGATTATCCGGAATGGTCGGGACCATCGCTATTCCGGATAACTGATTTTTCCGGTTTTCTGAATCGCTACGAAAAGCCGATTTTTTTTTTTATTGTTAAACTATTAAACCCAACAACAAAAAAAATTTGGAAATAATCTTAAAAATAAGAAAACACGATGAAGATAACATTAATGGTTATTTCTAAAATGATGGTAAGGTAAACATTTTTAAAATAAGAAAGAAAAATCGTAAAATCTTATGAGGAGAAAAAAAATTTTTTTTTAATGGCTGGAAAATTTATTGAATTTCGTTCCGGTTTTTTGGTTTTCTGATTTCCGGATAACAGGTTCTGTACTGTATTGTGCAATTAAATGTGTTCATTTCTTATTCTTTAATATTGATTTACAAAAATGTAGAAATATTTTATTTAATATAGGTTTGATATGTAGTTGTAGATTAGTTTTCTTACACTCGTTTAAACTGAAATAATGTTGTACTTTTCCATACTTATTTTACTATCATTGTAATGAATTTTTTTTTTTTTCAAGATGTTACATCTATTTTATCAATATAGTTTGTCTTTTTTTTTTCAGAACTGTGGCAGACACTTTCGTAGTGTCTTTGTTATAAAGACTAAAACACAATCTAACTTTTCTTTTTAATGTTAACTAATGTTTTTTTTTTTCTGTTACATACTTGTGTACACTGGAATTCTTTAATGAATTTGGAGCATAAAAAATTTTTTTGCTCACACACATCACATTTGAGCATTGACAAAATTCGCAATCTCATTGATACATAGGAGCATTTCCTGATAAAATTCATAGTAAATAAAAAGCATAGTATTGCTGAATCTCCTAGTGTATCTGTCTACTCTCTATTTTTTTTATTACAAGGTGACAACTTTCTGGTATATCATTTATATGAGTCCATCACTGAAAAAAACAAATGTGAAGAATTTTAATTTTATTATAATATTTTTTAAAAAGTGTGGAATTTCAGATTCTTTGAATGGGAGTGAAGATGAGTTTTTGAAGGGCTCAGCAAATGAGGCTGAAATAGAATCCATTGTAAACTGGATCCGTATAATTATGCTACTAACATTATTGAGTCCGTCACAGATGATGCTCTGAAATCTTTAAAATTGTAGTTTTTTAACTTAATAATTTGTTTTAAAAATTTTCATTGTGTTATATTTTTTTAAATACATTATCTTAATTTTTTATTCACATTTTTTTTTTAATATAAATTTAAAGTAAGTATTGTTCTCTCAAAAAAACCTTAATTTTTAAAGAAGATTTGATGATAGTAAGTATATGAATATTAAAGGCAAAATTAATTGTATAAAATGTATTAAAAATAGTTTTTGAAAAGTGTAATTGAAACCGATGAGATATTCATATTCATTACAATGTTTATGATTCGTCAATATTTCATGATCAACAGATTTTAAACTTTATTAAGTCAACTTATACACCATGATAAATTGCAACTCTAAATTTTTTATAATTAATTTAAGAACAAATTTACTTATTTTTAATTGGTAATTTGGTAGGATTGATTTTATTTTTGATTGAATCTAATTGCATTTTCTGCATCTTGTTTTTTGTTTAATTATTTTCCCACTTTCCATTCTTCAAACACGTTTCAGATTTATTTGCATTCAAAATCAATGTTTTCAAAAATAACTTTTTTTTTGGATGCCCAGATTCAAGTTTTTTTGGATTCCTAAAAAACTTGCTAAAGATAGATTCTGTAATTTCTTGGAAAACTTTAACATCTGATAGCTAAACATAGTTTACTTACTTTAACTTATGTAGCTAATGTTTTAAAGGTTCAATAATAATATCCTAAAATTTGTTTTCTAGTCACAAAAGCTATTACATACCACTTGTTCAATAAAATTTTAATTTCTAGACTCGAGTCGAGGACGAAGACCTCCATTTGGGCGTGGTAGAAGACCATCTCCACCAAACAGAGATCGCAATAATAGGTTAATTTAAATTTTTCTTCTTGAACAAAAAATTTTCATTTTAATTTTCTCTATACATTTTTATATCTAAATATTATTGTTACATACATTCTTAAATCAAAGTAGCTATGTTGTAAAATAATGCTTTCTACTGAAAAAGCTATTATAATTGCTATGAGTTTGTAGCTGTTATGTTTTTAGATCAGCATCCTTTATGCTGTTAATAAAAGCTGCAAAATTTCAATTCAAATGGAATTTTGTTCCTCTCCCTTCTTTTTTTTTAAATAAAAGTGTTGAAAACTTTAAAAATGATTTGAACCGTTTCATCTGGTTAAAGATATAATCAAATTGAAGATTGTTTTTTCTTTTTTAAAAGTAATTGTAAGCATTTAAAATAATTGCTTGGTTTCGTTTTATTGATGGTAATTTTTTTTTAGCAAAATAGTATTAAGGAAATTAATTTTAATTGTAACTTTTTTATATTCTGTGTTTTAATTAAAGCTTTATGTTTTAACTAAAGTTTCAATTTGTTTTTTAGATTTTAATATTATGAGTAGTTTTTCTAGATTTTAATGACAAGAAATGTATCTTTAAAAAGCTCTGAGTGAGCGGAATAAGCTTATTAAATTGAAAACCATAAATGATATCAATTTTTCATATATCTTTACATTTCAGGGACTTTTTTGGTAGAGATGAACCTCCTATGTTGAGAGATAGATCTCCATTGCGAGGGTCTGATGATCGTTTTAATGATAGATTTAAAAAAGAGGATAGGTATGGTTTTATACTTTAGTGAAAACAATTTCTTTCTATATTCATTATATGTAATTTTTTTATTTATATGATTTTCACATATACTTTGAACTTTTATGAAAAAAATTTCCATAAATATATCTGATCTTACTCATTTTACAAAAATGTCAGCAGTATTTAGTTGTCAAATTTTTTATGTAATTAGTGGTGAATAATTGGGAAGTAAGGAATATTCGGTACTTTTGCCGAATATTCAGTTGGCCAAATAAATATTATTTGGAAAAATATTTTTCAACAGAGTTTTTTTGGGGGGGAAATTTGAAGAGATTTAATGAAGAATTATCTAAAATTATAATTTTTACTATACATTATTAGAAATTGTTTTTACGCATATTAAGTCAAAAACTTGTTAAATTCAGAACTTAGAAGTTTTAATAATTGAGAACTTTTTTTTTTTTTTATTTGTTTCATTTTTGCTTGATTTTCTGTATTAATTATAGTGCAGCATTTTAATCAAACGTATATATAATAGATTTTATTCTTTTGTTGTCTCTTTTTCCTGTATTGTAAGACAGGTAACCGGTACCATAGAAAACTGTGATTTTTCAACATTAAAATTGTATTTCAGAACTAAGAACAATTTTTTTTCTCTTTAACTTTTTTTTTAACTTTTCTTTATCATTTTAATTATGACATATCTAATGAAGGATATTCTTTTATAGTCACTATTTTCTAAAAATAAGGGTATGTAAAAAAAGATTGAACTTATATTTTTAGCTTTAAATCTTTCATTTAAAAATTAAGTGCAGTTCTGGTTTCTATTTAGCTTTTTCTTTCTTAAAAAAGCTTTTGTTTTTGCACACACTTTTATTACGATGTGGCAATTAAGAGGGTTTCTATTAGACTTTAAATTTTACGTTTTCTTTAAAATACAAGAATTGAACACAGAGAAAGTTGCATCCATGCCTATGGTGGGATTCGAACGCACAACCACTGGCCCCATAGTCCAGTACAGTAGCCACTAACAAGTGATCCGCAGAAGAGAGAAAAATATTTCCCATGGGAATAAGTAAGGTATTAAGGCCAATGTTACTAATGTTTAAAATAAAAGTGTTCGGAGAGAAATGATGTATGGAAAAGATCATATATATAGATCAAAGATCTAATACTTCATTTGGTAACGGTATGTGCTACTGTGTTTTTTAGAGGGAGATATCCAGTTGTAAAGTATTTTACTGCCAGTTTTAATTAAATTGATATTGGGGATGTAACGAATAGAGATTTGGTCGAATTACCTATATTCAACCATAAATATCGGCCGAGTTGCAAAAAAAAAAATTTTTTTTAAATCATCACTAAATATTTTTTTTATATATATAAATAAGTTTCGTCATTATTGACAATTAATAAAAACTTAGCTGTATTACAAGTGTGGGGTAAAGGAAAACAAATATAATAGATATCCGTTATGAATATTTAAGATACATAAAAAGAAACTAAAAACTATTTTCAAAAAGAAAAAAGAAATTTTAATTAAGCTAACTTGAATGTTAAAAATAGTATTTTCTGAATAAAAGTATTGATAAAACGTTAAGAAAAATATAGTCTATCAGAAATGTTTTTAAAAGTGCTGTGCTGTTATGAAAATACCAAAGAAAGAAAAGAAAAAAGATTAGATACAAAACAAAATAAAAAATCTATCTTCATTTTCGAAAGAAAATTTTAAAAGTCCTGAACATCTCTGTTTTTTAATTATACTGTATTTTTAATAAAAAATGAAGAAAAAATATAAAAACCTTGACAAAACTAGATAAAGAAGCAATAATCAACACCAAAGCAATAATCAATCTTAATTTTTTTTTTTTAATTTAATTCTAAAAATCTGAAATTAACTTTTTTACATTGCTGTATTTTTAGATAGAGTGAAAAGGAAAGAATAATATTCTTTGGAAACGCTCTTTAAAAAATGTTTTGTCTTAATAAAAAGGCTGATAAAAGGAAAAGTTAATAGGAAAAGAGAAAGAAAAATTTCCTAATCTCTTAAAATATAACTTTACACTGAAAATCACAGCTTTTTTGTTACCGCCTATTTGCGTTATTTATAGGGAAAAAAATCTTATATAAGTACGAAACTTGAGTTAAACAAGAATGAAAACCAGAATTTAATTAAAATAAATCAAAATGGAAAAACGCTATAAGCAGCTAAAATCAACATTGAAAAACAATAAAATCTTTCAGTAAAACAGTAAAATCTTCATTTAAAAGCTGCACTTTAATGAAGAAAGAAACAAAAAAATATGTTTTCAATTCTTGAATTAGAATTGTTGAATAAAATCAGGATAAAATAATCTAGTTTCATTTCTTGAAATTTCACTTTTCCATTTGTCTTCCGGAACATATATTTGCAAACACGTGAATTTTGAAACTTATCTGATATGTGTAAAAACTATATCAGATAATTTATAGTAAAAATACTATTTTAGATTGTTCTTTATTTTATTGATTAAAATTCCAAAAATAATATATTTTTAAATATTTTTCCAAAAAATACTTGGCTGAACATACTGCAAATGAGCTGAATACCTAATAGTAATCAAATATTTATTACATCACTAATTGATATTGTAAGAATGATACTTTCCATAATTTTTAACTGGTATTCTTATAGCGGTTTTATGAAGAGAGACGATAGGAGGGATACAGGAAGGCCTTTTTATGGGGATGATTCTCGGGAACGTTTCATGGACAAACCTAGGTCTGAAGGCCCTGGTGGATTTGATCACTTTTCTGGACCTGGTGGTGATTCTTTTAATGCTCGGTAATAATTTGTTAAAGCTTAAGAATAATAGTTTTTACCTACTTAGTTGTATTTTTTTCCAATTAATATTTTAGAAGTTGCAACCTTAAAAGCGCATTGAAAGGAAATATAACTGTTACATTTTTTACTATGAACCAATATTTAAATTTTTAAAAAAAACTTCCTCTTTTAAGGTAAACAACTTTATTTCCTGTCCTGAGTTTTTCTTATTTGTTTCTGTCGATTCTTGAAGGCTAAATTATCTGTAGAAGGGTTATATCTTCTGTTAGCAGCAAAAAATAGGTGAAAATAAAATTTATTTAAAGAGAAGTCATAGCTGAGGTTAGACAAAACCTCTGTTCTGACTTCTCTAATTACGAATTAAATTTCTCACTTTTTGCTGGTCGCAGACTTAATCCTTCGATTGTTGATTCAGTCCTTGATAAGCTTACTAAATACCAATCATTTTCTCTCGTAATAATCTTTACTGCCAACTGGTTACTTTACGGTTTTTCTCTCTTTTCTGTGAAATTGCTAAAATATCCATCCTTCATTTTGAATGTTTCTAAATCATTGGGGCAAACGGCATTTTGTCAATCCGCCCTTTGTTATGTTGGGCAAAATAGAATTAATCTAAAATTTTGATTTAAGGGCAAATTATTAATTGCCTCACACTGTTAGATATCAGGTATAAATTTAATTTCCGTAATGAATGTTCATCTTGATGCCCTTGTGTCTTGTTTCATTTATTTAATTGCTAATTTTATAGTAAATTAGCTTAGTTCTGCCTGCATTGCCTTTGAAATCTATTCTGCCCTGATTTGCTTTTCAGCTACAATGGTTTTTCCATGCATTTTTTTTTATTATGTTGGCAACTGTGCTTTTTCTTCAGAGTGCGTAGCGTTTTTAAAAAGTGCTTATTTTTGATTTTTGTTTTATAAAAGCCCTTAAAGGTGCTTTTTTTCATTGGGTGTTTTTAAAAAGTTCTTTATTTTCCCTGTACCATAATGATTTTCGCCACGTATTGTGCCAAAAAGACACTGTTCACATTGTTCTATTCAACGTTTTCTCAATAATTCAACCCCAATCTATTTCGGCATACCGTGGGTCCGTAGCATATGAAAATGCCATTCATTTTAAATGATTTATAATTTTTGACAATTGTGAAAAGTTTTTTTTTGACATGGTGGTTAAAACCGTCAATTATCAAAAACTTGCCAACCCTGCCTAATTATATATTTTTTTTAAAGTGCTTAAAAGATGCTTATTTCTTGTTGAAAAATTTGGCTACGCACCTTGTTCTTATTTCTGCCTTGCTCTATTTTCATTTTTATGTTTTGTTACCTAAACAATTATCCCTGTAAAAAAAAATTGTCAAAATATTTTTATTCTTCTTTCAACTATGAAGAAGGAAAAAAAATTATTATTTAACTGCTTGTTTTATTAATTAAGTGTCCTGCTGCTTTGTATTTAGAAGAGGTTTGTTGCAATCAGAAAGGTAGTATTAAATTTGTATGCTAAGAAAAATTTACATCTTTTTCAGTCGTACCCCTGAAAATTGTGTGAATTGATATAATCAGAGTTTTACTGTAATGGAAAATATTATTAAGTGTGCTTACTTGGCCATGTGTGCTTAAAGAAAGGTTGTTTTTTTTTGTCAGCACTCTCGAGTTCAGTTCAAATGATTTTATTCCAGAGTTAAACAGTATCAAAGCTAAGTTGTGAATGAGCAAGTTTTGAGTATAACTGGCAGCACATAGTTTTAGAATGCAGAATTAGTAACGTAGTATGCTGTGAATTAAATGTTAATCTTTAATATATAAAATTCATCTAGTGTTTTTTTTTTTTTTCACATTAATAACAAGCTGGTTTTCCAAATAATTCAGTATTACAAACAATATTTGTTTGTATTAATAAAAGTTTTGCTATTATTCAGCTTTTTATAATTTAACTTTATTAATTTTTGCAGGTCTATGAACTTTCCGAGTGGTCCACCCCCAAGAATGCCTACTGGAGGTTTTCCCAAGCCTAATGAATGTGAAATAATTGTTGTAAATAAAAATCACAGGTGAAAACTACACTCCTTTTATGGAGGAAAATTGATCTCATTTTATATCTTTTTGGGAAAATTGATGTTTATTTCAAGAAAATTTTGATTAAAATATTCTTGAATAAAAATTCACTGATATATTTTAGGGTTTATGCAGAGTCAGTTGAAGCTAGAGTGAAAGAAATTGGAATTGTTGTTGATATGCTGTTTTTAAAAGATGAAGCTCTCTTAACACAGACCATTGATGATATTGCTCGCCGTGGTAGCTTATATGCGATGGTTATTAGCCCGCAAAATGAAACTCATAGATCTGTTACAGTTAATATTCTTCATGGCACTCCTCAAGGTATGATAAGTTATTCTATTGTAGATCTTTTATTTATTTATTTTTTTATATGTTATAGATAAATTTAACATTATTGATTAACTTGTTGCATTGCATGCAAAATGATTTTAAGTAGAAAAAAATATCAAGAAACTGCCATTATCACTCCTTGACATAAAAGCTAAACCCTACTGGATTTTGCCAGTTTCTCGTGGTATACTGGTTTAGTAAAAATTCTGGTTTTTGTGCAATTTTGGAAAATTCCTATTGAAATAACATTTTTGCACTGATTATTGCTTTCTTGAATATTTAAATACGTATTACTAATTCATAATCAAGCTAGCCTCATTTATAGAGAGAAAAAAATTTTGTTTTAAAATTGTTTTTTTTTTATTTATTTAGAACTCCCTTTTTTTAAATTAATTACAAAGTCTTTTATCTATGTCTGTATTAAATGTTTATTTCTATTCAATAGTAGGAGTAAATATAATACATAGCATTTCAAACTTATTGAATGTCAATCTTAAATGGAAAATATTGCAGTTTTTTTATTTTGATGACCATAAAATTCCCTATGTGTAAAATATTTTTTACATTATTCAACAATTATCATAAAATTAATATTATTTCATAAAATCTACTAGATTTTTTCATGTTCATGTTTGCATCTATGTAAACTTTAGCCAGTGTTACCTCCCATTAAGAGATAGTCTCTTTTAGGATGTCACTGGTAGTCAGCTATTAGTATTGAAACAACAGTTTTAGCATTACTGCCTAAGGCTCTCAACTTATTAGACAATAGCTGATCTCGAAAACACAAAGACACAAACAAAGTTATTCAGTTATATTTATTTATTTATCGTAGCTTATTCTAAAAGTAGCTTCCCTCTGCAAATTTCTTTATTTAAAATATTGTAAAGCTTACTACAAAATACATTCATAAAAAATTATCTTCTTACCCCTTTCAAAGAAAGTTTTTTTAAATCAGATTGAATTCATATTCTACTAAGATAATAATTAAAAATATATAAGGTATTATTGTTGCTTTTTGTGTCATAGTGGTACTGACTCCTACAAAGATGTTTTCTAACTATTTAATCAGGTGTAGTTTGTTTTTCCATAGTTAAAGCTTAGCTAAATGGGAACAACTTGCTGTCATCTCATGCAAATAAATTTACAAGTGGAAAAACGTTTTATATTTAACAAGGTTGTCTTTTATTTTATTTTGAATTATAATTGTATTTGGCTATAATCATGTTTGAATTTATATGATATTGCATGGAATTAAAGATAAATTATGTGTTATCATGTTCTGATTGTGTTATTTCTATTTTTGATTATAAAAATGATCATGTCCTAGATAGTGTTTCAATGGCAATAGGTTTTTTTATCCCTTCTTGATTTTGAAGAATGCTTAATGTGTTCAGCTCGAAAAACATGTATCCGATTAACTATTCCAATCAAATCAACAATTTGTATTCCAATTTATTTAAATGTTTATCTGGGTTAATATGTTACAAAGTATGTTATTTTGTTTGGATTAAGAAAACATGGCAGCTAACTCTATTAATTTTTCCAGTAGAGTTGGCAGTTATGATTAGACATAATTTTTAAAGTTTTTCATGATTTAATCAAAATTGCGGATTTTTCTATATCTTATAAAATTCTCTAAAATTGTTAAAGATTCTGAAAACGATCACTAGATTAGATTAGATTTTCAATCTACTAATTGCTTACTTGAGTATTCTAATAAGTGTTACTACTAAATAAAGCGGTAGACTATATCTATAGTAATTAGTTGTAGTTTTTTTAAGCGGTCAACCTTGCTAGGACAAAAACAATTAACACTAATTAGCTCTTTAAAGAATGCTATACAGTGGACAGGCTTTGTGGAAAATTCTGTTTTATCTACAGTACCAATTTAAGGTGTTAAAAAAAAATGATTTCAAGTAAACTTAGATTAAACCATAAAGTTTAAAATGCTGATGTTTTTTTTTTTGTTTTTTTTTTCTTGAAATATCAAATTATGGCAATATACCCAATAGGGAAATAATATTGTCATAATTGTTTTTTTAAGAGAATTTTTCAGCATTTGAAACTTTATGGTTTACCTTGTGTTTGCCTGAACCTTTCTTTTCTGTACTTTAAATTTAGATTTTAGGAGAAAACAGAATTTGTTGTATAAAGTTTCTCCCATGAAATAGCGTCCTCTTAACAAGAAGGGAAACAGTTTTCCTGTCATGTTATTTTGAAAAACAATATTACAGTGTGATGTCCCCTTTCCGGAAGGGTTGATATCTCGGACACTTTTTAACAATCAAAATAAGCATCTCTTCATCTTCCCCTCTCTTAAAAAAGAAAGAAAAGAGGTCTTTTGGCACGTTTTCTCCTTTTCTAGCTTCTAGTGATTTATGCAGTGAACCCATAAATCACCAGAAAGAGGAAGAGAAGATCTACTAAAACCGTTAGTGACGCTCCCACCCCCCTATTTTCCTATGCAGCTGGCTAGTAAAGGAGGCTTTTCCTGGAACCTTTTTATTAGAGTGTTAAGGAAAGAAGAAATACTGTTGGAAAGGGTGAGCGCTGCGAACGTTAGCATGGAGGAGGAGTCAAAATAGAAAATTTGAATAGGTCTAAAAGGATACACGTGATTGAGTAACATTCGTTCTTCCCCTGACCATGTAATATTTAGGAGGCAGGGGGAAAGGGGGGTAACATTCTTTCTTTAGCATTGACATGAAAAAGATTTCCAGGAATCCCTTGTACTGAAGTATGAATTTGACTAATGGAAGTCCCTTAATTCCAAACCAAGCACTAAATTTTTCTCCGAAATTTATTCCTTTTTCTCATGCAGTGCATCTGCAAATACATTATAGGAAGAGGTGAATACCTTTTCGAAATAAGTCTTGCAAAATACTCCAAAACTAATTTCTCTCGCCAAATATCTCGTATTTAAAGCAATCCAATGCGTCACATTTGTTCGTTTTTAGCGATCTAGCTTTTGTGAGTTAAGAAATTGTGATTTTCAACTACATGTTTTTTTAAATTATTTTTATTAAGTTTTTTGACAAGTTATTCAGGGTTCCCATGGTACTTGAAAAACCTTGAAAGAATTTTGCTGAAAAAATTCAGGGCCCTGAAAAGTCCTTGAATTCCGCAATAGGGTACTTGAAAAGTACTTGATTTTTTAGGAATTAAAATAATACTAATCTTTTTTTCAAAAAAGCAGTAAAAGAAAAATAATAAATAAAATCAAAGGAAAATTATAGAAATTCTGATAGATGCAGTTTTTAATGCTTGAAGTGAAGATGGGTTAAAGAAGATGCAAAACTTTTCTGTCCTAGATTTTTCATACCAAATTATTGTTCATCTCTCTGTTGTGAAAGCTGAAATTTCTAGCAAACTTTAGGTTTTGTAGTCACAGTTTTCGAATGATATGTAGTGTTTATTCGATTTAGAAATATGTCAATGTGTTAACTTTGTTATTATGACAGGTAAATATTGTTATCCTATTTTTTCTTTAATTTACGTACGTTCTATTTTTTATCATTTATAACCAAATTTTTACATTTAGTTTTTACTGCTTATAAATAAAATTTAGTTCTACAGGTTTCATTGATCATGAATAAATGTCATGATTCACATTAAACTGATTCTTGATTTACGAATCAGAATTCATATAAAATGTTCTACAAATTGTCATTTAAATTAAAGTGATTAATGACTCACATATCGAACATTACTTGAAAGTGATTTACAAATTGCTCATCAGGATTCACTCATCATGATTTCAATTAAAGTTATTTCTGAATCATATAGCGTGATACATATTAAAAGTTATTTCAGAATCATACCTCACAATTTTCATTCTAGTAGTTAAAAATTAGGCATTGCGATTCACAAAAGAGAGATTTAAGAATTGCCACTTGCAATTCTCATCAAAATTATGTAAGAATCGCCACTTGCAATTCTCATGCAAAATGATGTAAGAATCACGCATAGCTGTTCTATATTAAGCACCTTTCGAATCAAAAGTTGCAGTTTTCATTATAATGATCACAATTCAAATGAAAACTATTAGCTAATCACGCAACAAAATTCATATTGAAGTGATTTAAGTATCACACATTGTGATTTACGTCTTGTTAGTTAGTGCGTTTTGTATCATTTGCTATTCGCATTGTTCTGATTTAAGAAACATAAACAGCAATTCAATTTCAATTTACAAATCACACATTGTGATACATAATTTACGTAATCTTTGTGACTTACTTCACCATTCTTATAATTTTGATTTAGGGGAGAGTCGGGTAGCCCGCCCACTTAAGGAGTATTGTTTATATTTCTGTATAATAATGAGTAATAATCAATATTTTAGTATGTTTCTATTGTTTTACCATCTAATTAAATAATGCAAAAAGAATAGTTTAACTTAAAAAAATATAAATTTAAAAAAAAAACATGTTTTTCAGCTCTTTTCAAAATGTGTCGGGTAGCCCTGCCCAGTTACAAAAATTATGTTTTTTGACTATTTTTTCAGGTGTAAATGAAAGTGACCAATGTATTGACAATAGATAAACCTCATTTATCATTTTTATCACAAAATTATTTTATTTATTGCATATTTATATACTTTTAGTGAATTCTATCTTTTAATAACAATCATTTAATAACAACAATATTTGTTGTTAAAAATGCATGTAACATTCAATTTTAAGCAATAAAATAATAATCTTTGCAACCGTACATTTATCGACGAAATAAAATTGGGCAGTGATACCTGACATTCATGTGCGAAATCCACTTTTTTGATAAATTTATAATTACTCCAACAATTTTTCACATATAAACTTCTTTCTTCGTGCAAATTAAACTTAAGACTACATACTTTACTGCTGTATGTATAGAGAAAAAAAAATTTTTAGTATTAAAATGAAGTTTAATCAAAATATTCAACCAATTTTTCTTATTTCATGACTACTGTATTCAACATATTTTCAAAACTATTGTTTGCCATTTTA